AATAAAATAGAACACAATTTTAAAAACTTAAATATTGTAGTTTATATATATTTTGTTTAACTAAATCATATTTCATTTAAATAAAATGAAATTCCAATTTAGCAATGCATTCGGCGAAAGACACAACCGAAACACTTTCCTTTGCGGTTTGATAACATTGAAAATACTTGAAAGGGAAATGAACCGATTTAGTAGAGCTCAAATTCAGAGTCCCTTAGACATGGTGTCTCGTATTGCAAGGCTATTTGTTGCTGACACAAATTAGCGTCGAGGCAAACAAACAGCCCAGGAAATTAATCATGCTAAAATGTCAAGAGGAAGAGTTCAACGCACGACTCAGCCACAGGCACAGCCACAGAATGTGACCAAAGGGACTGATTCAGATACAGATTCAGCTTTCACCTTTGACGTAATCGGAAACCCAAATGGCGTGGGAGTATCTCGGACAGATGTTTAGGCCGGCTGCCCCGTTCGTTAGAGACTGACACCCGCTAACTTGAATGCATCATTAGTCGACAAAACACACACACAAAACGAAGAAGAAGCAGAGGGACGAACGCACAAAAAACGGGCGAGAGTGATGCACGCGACGGAGGATGGAGCATGGAGAAGAAGCCGTAGTCGAAGACAAAGTCGGACGGAGTCGTGATTTATGTTGCGTGCGCCTGACAAACACTTGAGAAGTGATGATTTATAATGAAGATGCATGCATTCGTATTAATTAAATGCTTTTTTCTCTCTTTCTCTCATTTTTTGTCTCCTGCCAGCGGGCTGACACGGTTGCGCTCCATTTAACGTTAAATGCCAGCGGAGGACGACTGCGACTTCAACTGTGGCTCCAAAACTTGAGAATCGAATTACGCGATATCTGAATATGAAGAGCAGAAAATATTGTTTAGCCGTTAAAGAACTGACTTATGGACTGGCTACGGTGGGCCGGCTGCAAATTGGTAATTGATTTGGAATGCCAGTGCCAAGTGCTTGATGTGCATTTGGGTCTCTGTGGCAGGCGGAATTTAAAATATGGCAAGCAATAGTCGAATATTCATTAAGCGCAATTATGAAAATTAAGTTGTCATTTTGATTTGAATGTGGCGGCATGCGCGGCATACGGCATGCGGCATGCGGCATGTGGCATGAGGCTCATAAGCAATATGCTCATTAAATTAAATCAAACTGACAGCCAGCCTGGCTAAATAGATGGGCCCACGATTCACGGCGATTCACGACGATCCACCATCGCGCCGATCTCCCCATTTAGGCAGCTGCTGCTCTTGGCAGCCCTTCGGGTTCCTCTCCATAGTTTGGCCGACTAATTAACGTGCTTTCACATAGTTTGCTCAAATTGTGCATGAATAATGAAGACATTATCGCAATGCGTTCGTAGTGCCGCCAGACACCCTGTATAATTGGCCGGCAGCCAATTGAAAACTATCCTCAGCCACAGGCAATTTCTCAGCACTCATCCTCTCTCTCTCTCTCTCTCTCCCACTCGCTCTCTGTATCTGCCTCGCTCGCACTGTTGCCGTCTCTTTCGGCTGAATTATGTGTTAATAATTTGGAATTAATGAACGTTTTACATGTTCCTCAGAAATCCAAGCAGGCAAAAATGGTTATTACACGAAAAGTGTGGCTGCCAGCAATGCGAATTGGTAATAAATCTGACGAGGGGTAAGGGAAAATTCGATTTGAAAATAGAAAATTACAAATGGCGGAAGTTTTTGAAACTCTGAACAGAGCTTGCTAAGGTTAGATCACCTGATCCTATCTCTTCTCAGTAAGAATAAGTCGATTAAGTATTTAATTTATTATAT